TGGTTCAGAAACAGTGAAATGCCCACTAGTGCTTTAGATAAGAGGGTATCTGCCTTAGCAGACAGAAGTGGGTGTCAAGTGGGTAAGTAGACAAATGATTGGGAAAAAGTGTTGGCTGAGTGAGAATGGGTGGGTGGATGACAGAGTGACTGAGTAGGAAGAAGGACAAGTAATCAACTGTGATAAGATTCTAGAATATCATATTTTCCAACCTTTTAACTCTCATTGCGGCTTTTCTTTGAACATTCTCCAAGTCTCATATCTCTCTTCTCTTTGTCTGGCAATCTTTAGCTCTCTCTGTCACAGTCTCTCTTCCCATGTGTATGTGTACGTATTCTACTTTCCCATGACAAAAATCTTAGTCCAGTGCCAGGTAATATTTTTATAACAACAAGATCCCTGATATGTAAATGTAACTGCATTCAAGAAATATTTTTAATAATGAATTTGTGGAAATGTAATGAGAAAAAGAAAATGTGTTTGTTTATTACATTCAGGAAATTCCTCTATCCCCCTGGTTTTCATCAACTATATTTTTGGCAGGCTGTGTGCATGGAAATGTGAAGCCATCACTCTCAAAAAGAATTACAATAATTACACCTGATTTATATAGATGTCAACGTAGGGTTAGGCAGTTGGAAAATCCAATGATCAAAATGAATAAGCACTTAAAATTAAGGTCATATTTTGGCCAACACTCTGGTTTTGAGCATTGTCAGTAGTTCACAGGTGAAATTTTTCCCCAGACTTCCACAATATTCATAGTGGCACAACAGATTTCTAGCTTCTAAAATGATAACTAAAGCAAGTTATATACACTGGTATACTCCCTGCAAATATATTATGAAGATTTAATTCACTTGGATTTCTTGAGTGTATACTCTATGTGCTAGACACTAAGGAAGACATTGACAAAATAAAAGAGATGGTGTTTGGCCTCAAGGAATTTATGCTATAGCTGTGGTATGTTGAAGTACCCATGTGGGGTTTAAATTGAGCACTGAAAGAAAACAATAAAATTCCTAAGCAGGCAAGAAAAGATCACTAGTGAAAGTTAAAATTCAGAAGAGAGAATGCTATGTTTAATAAACAGGTAGGGCCCTTGTCTGAGTGGACAAACAGTGTATTTGAAAGTTGTAGGGAACAAAGGTACAT